ACTGTCTATCTGGAGTTCATAACTTTTAATCCAGAATTCATAACTGGAAAACATACTTTGTCTCTTTTGGATAGCAATTGTTAAAGGCCAGTTCTTGCTCACGGCTGCTCTGCTGTGCCAGGAATGCTTTGGACTGTTTACTGGACTTGTTGAGACTGCCTGCAAAATTAGGGTCAGGTTGTAGCTTCCATCACCCCTGCAGGAGGTGGAGGAGGAGCACCAGGTACTTCAGGAATAATTTAGGTGTGGCAGCCAGAAGTTTTGCAGCAGTCACTGAAAGAATCCAGTCAACATTGTTGTTGCCCCACATTGGCTCAGCTGTACTGGTTGGTGCTGCCTTCATCTGGGGAGTTTATGGCAGCACTGAACTAGAACGATGCTTGTATAGCTCTTTACACAGCTCTTTATGAGCGTGAAGCACTATTGTTCCAAATCATATCATTTTACAGGCACCTCTACCTCTCCATGCTATTTTTATCAATCCAGTAATACCCATCTATGCTCACAGTTAGCAATGTCGCTGTGTTCCTCGTATTTCTGTCTTCACATATTCCATCTCTGCACAGTTGAAATTCCTTCAGGCCTGAGCCTCGGGGCAGTATGTTGTGTTCATGTACCATTCCCAAATGTGAACTTGATTACCCTGCACAGACAAGAGTTTTCACATTTCAAATGTCACAGAAAAGACCAAGAAGAAAGACAAATGAAAATCTCATTGAGAATGTAAAGACATGAATTGTTTCTGACCTGTATTCATTTAGCACCTGTTTATGACAACTGTAGGAAGGGATAAGTGCATTTGCGAATTCATATTTGCTGTGCAGAATTCCATGCTGCTCTGCAAGGCTGGAAGATCTCCACTGCTTAGGCTGACCTTTAAAGGCAAGTACCACTTTTTTCACAACGTTCACACTCACTGAGCCCTGGTAATCTGGCAGGTATTCTGTCAAAGCCTGTGGGTGCTCATCATCCGTAAGAAAACTTGGAGCATTCAATATCCTTGTATGCTGAGACAAGTTTAGGTGTGACATCTGTTAAGGCCTCAGAATACTGAAATTGGGAATTTTCTAGCCATTTTGTGTTAAATATGGTGTGCTCGAGCCATCATCAGCTTCTATTGCTTCTATGTTTCTTCTTTCTGTACAGACATCTTGGCTGATGGGAGAGATAAAGTCCTACCCTGTGGCTAGGCTTGTATGAAACTCATCTCAACTGTTACCAAATGCTGTGTCCAGCTTTTTGATTAAATCCCTTATCACCTATACTTTTACATGTTTTGCTTAAAAAGCTGTGGTCATCACCTGAAACTATGATTTTCCAGTTAATCCTTTTGTTTATTCTGGCTGACATTTCTCAATTGTTGTTTGTTGCTCTTTCTTTATGTTTTAATTCCTTCTGAATCACCCAAAAAAGAGGCCTGGAGGCCATGGTAAACTGAAGCAGTACCAGTAGTTTCCTTTTTTGCTGTTTTGGCTCAAAGAAGAATCAATTCAATTACTCTGATTAGGAAAGAGGCTCAGTTACATTCGTTCTCACTTCAGTGTGGTGAGAGGACATTCTTCCTTTCCTGAGTATGATGAAATAAAAAGCAGACATTGAAGGGTGGGATTTTTTTTTTTAAGAAGGGAATATAAAAATCTCAGGCTATAAATTCTTCGTGACAGTAAAAATGTGTATCAGACTTTTTGATGAGTTGGCTTTGTGCCATTCAGCAGTCTTTACGCTAGATCATATGTTGTCTGCGTGAACCTTTTTTACTTTATGCTGCTATAATCTTTATGTGTCTGCCCTCTCACAGCCAGAATAAATGTCATACAGGACATTCTGTCCCATTTGTCACAAGTGCTATTGTGTGTCTACCCTGGATCCATATTGGATTAGTATTGATGAGAGATCCTAAGCACTTTACATGGAGAGATTATCAAGGAGGGTGCATAGAAATGCAGATACAAAACCGAAGCTCAAGTGCTCACTTTTGGAAGTAGCTGCATTAAAGCAGTCTGCTGAAACATATTTTGGAAGGTCACTCTCTCATTTCAGAGATGTCTGGGAGAGGTTTGACATTTTTATTAATAATTGTTTATTCTTTGAGCTTTCCTTTGACTGTGTAAGTATCTGAGAGAAAACCTGTAATATCCTTTCAGAAAATTCTAGCAAAAGCTGTGCTATACATAGAAATGCCACAATCTCAGAACCTCCCAGACCGAAAAGTAAATGATACTTAACTGGTGAGATAGGGATCTCCCTTTTCTGAAGGCATAAAGTTTCCAATTTTAGCTCTGGGGTTTCATGGCCTTCCACCTGCCACTGGGCCAGAAGGATGACCATTTGTTGTCTTGCAGGGCAGTGTCAATCCAGAAGGACATTCCACTTGCGATGGAGAAAGTGGACATTTTGGGGAGGTATATATTCAGTTACTTACATGACAGCTGTTTGGAGAAAGGAGCCAAGCACTTACAAGAATGATTTTCAATAGGCAGAAATTCCCAGCAAACCATTCAGCTTTCTCTTAACTGGATTCATACAGAAATAGCAAATAATTAATTGAGGCCAAACTATGTCATCCTGAGTTTGCATTAGCTGGAAGGTTTAGAAATAATTAAGAGCAAAACTGTTAGTTCTCCATTTAAATAGCTGCTGCTTATCTGGCCAGTATGAAAGCCCAATCTGTTGTATTCAATCAGCTTTCAGCTGCTACTTGCCACCCGCCTAATTCCCCAGTCCTGTCTCTGTGCTGTGCTTGTGCATTCCACTACCTGCTAAGTTAAACCCTGCTGTCCTGGTTCTGCGTGGAGATTTCTCGTGCTATTCAAACTATCCACCCTGGTTCAGAATACAGCCCCCAAACCTGTAGGCTGTGTTCCGTATCCATACAAACATGGTTTCAGTGGAGCACCACGTGGGTGAGAAGGGGAGTCAGCAGCTGTGTAGTTTAGCGCACAGGATTAGGATTGTGTGCATTCATACCATTCTCTGTGCATTTATGCAGTTTTGATAAGCTGTTGAGCTGCAATATCTCCACCTTAGGTTCTCCTTTTTAAAGTGATGTGCCTGGCAATGCCAAGTTGGTCATCCAGACTGCTCTCAACCATGGTCACACTTCAGATGATGGCATATCTCAATTTTCCTAAATCTCTTTGTGTTTCAGCTTCCATAATCATTTATATTGCAAGAGGATTAAAAGAAAAATTGATAATTTAACTCCTCATGTGCTCAGCTTGTGCTAGCTTCTGTGCAACTTGTGAATGAATGCCACAGGGAAGTCTCTGACAGTTCTAAAACTGTATGGGCAGTGTTAGAAATACACTGAGATGAAAGCGGTTTTTAGGTTGAGAGGCATTCTAAGCCTCAAACCCGCACCACCAGTTCTTTGCTATATTAAAAATGACAAAGTTCATTGCACAGGCATTTGGCAGGAACTAAAGAGTAACTCATTGACCTTTGCAGATTAAGTAATCCATATTGTTATAAGGAAGTGATATTTGAGTTACCAACAGCAAATGTACACAATTATCTTCCATTAGCCTCTCAATGGAAGCAATCAGGATTTCCTGATCCTAACATGTTTAGTGTTCTTGGCATCTTCAATATCTGTTTGCTGTGCTCTGTGGACACATTAGTTCTCTAAGCATATCAGAGGATGCTTAGTGCACTGCCTGCTTTTTTAGTCTGCTGGAAGTGCACATATGGAGGACAGAAGGGAGAAGGCTGAGGCTTGGGTGTGCAGATGGGAGACTGAAGGCTCCGTGCTCTGCTCTCAGATTTATCAGAGACCTCAATGCCTGTCTCTGTGTGCCTCAGTTTTCACTGAATGAAATGGACTGAAGTGTTTGCACAATACAGAGAAACTCACTTTCCCTTAGAGGGCTTTGAGATAACAAACAGCAACAGAGCAACAAGGAGCAGTTTTGCTGTTTCTGCAGAACGTTTCTGTTACAGAAAGAAGACATGACTGAAAATGAACCATGTGTATAATTCAAAATTTGAATGCAATAAAAGTTAAATGTGTTCCTTTTCCTTTTGTAATTTATTAACTCAAACATTTTTTCAAAAATTGATGGGGAAACAATTTATAAGAAACTTCTTTTTTGCTTTCATCTGGAGAATGAAATGATCTTGTTCAAGTGCAAATGAATATGTCACATTCGTACATGATTTGCAAGAAGATGAATGAGTGGGTCTCCTTCTCCAGTCTGTCTTCCATTTCTAATTCTACATGAAGATTACTTTCAGATTCACTGTGTGGGTCTTTATGTGGCTTGTTGCACACTGAAATAGATGGGCCACGCTCTTGCTAAAGCAGTGTTTTTAAAGTTACTTTTTTATTTAGAGCTTGTTGTGCAGCATTGCATTGTTCATCAGCCTGAATGCCTGAGCTCAGAATTGTGTGGCAGATGAAGGAAAGAAACCCTAGCAATCCAGAGCCCCTGGACAAGAGAATCACTTCACCTCAGGACATTGAGATACTTTATCTGGGTGGCTTAGGAAAAATGCTAGATAAGACTGAAATTTAGAGAGGCTGAGCACGGCCAGGCTCAGCCCTTGGATTATCAAGAAGAGAATAAATCCAGCAACTGGCATCTGAATATGTTAGTGCTGTAGATTCTAGCATGGAAACAGCAAACTATTTATGAGGCAAAAATATATCAGAGATTAATTCAGTTCTATATATAATGCATACATTTTACATATACAAAATCCTTGCCAAAATATGAATAATTTGCAAGTACACTGAAGTTAGAAAATGCCAGAATAAAGGTTGCCTTTCCATGTATATGCCCTAATCTTTAATTACATGATTCCTGTCTTCTTTTTCTAACTCTGAAAGTTTCTAATTTCAGTGCGTGCTTGGTTTTGCAGTGCTAATACTTTGTCTTCTAAATAAAGACTTTAAGGATGTATTTCCCTGGGTTTTCAAAAAAGCATTTGAAAACTATGATGTTCCATCCTGACACCCAGATGGGTCCTTATCCAATTTTAACCTTTATCTGTCACCCTAGGAGGCTCCAGAGCAGCTAAAACTGATGCTGGTGTGATCCTGAAGTCAGAGCAGAGATGCTGTGTGTCTTCTGTCATGTGACAGAAAGCTATAGGTGTCAGATGAGAAGGCTGTAAGGTAAGGGAGCACCTGAACAGAGTTTTAAATAAGTTACTTATTATTACTCTCTCTCATCCTTTTCTATTCATGAATGCTCCATCCTGTACAACCATTAACAACCTTCCTTAGACAGCAGTCACGTAAACTTCATCGACCTCATTCTGTACGGCCTTGTACCATATGCACGGTCATTTCTACTCATGCAAAATGAATGTAAAATGTTGATTTCTGATTTGCTAACATTTTGAAACTCCTTGGCATTAGTTCATGCAGCTGTGAATGGTAGCACATAGTGCTGCAGCATGCAAATCCAGGACCCATATGCTGAGGAGGGTTACACTTTAAGCTGATTTTTTCACCATGGTTGTAAGGCAGAGCAGTCACACTGACAGCACGAATGCAGTGTGCTAAATCATTATTCTTTGTCTATCATGGATTGAAGAGTTTTGATCGATAGTGGCAACCTGCAAAGCCTCATAAAAATTGTTCATTTCCTAAAATCTATTTCCATGCTTAGGCATTTAGTCTTTTGTATTGATGACTGAGAGGGTAATATTTCAAGTCTCTCTCTGGGCACAACAGAAATGCTCCAGAGCATTTGAGCATGTTGACCTCTGCTGCATTGAAAAAGCAAGTTCTAAATTGTCACAGAAGAGGAGCTTCCAGGACACAGGAAACTAATGAGAAAGCCTGGAGGTAGAAAAATATCCTAGATCTGTGAAGATTCAGACAGGGGCTTAGAGGGTGAAGTACTTGCTATGTTACTTTCTTTTTGAGTCATTTAAGCCAGGACTATGCACCTGGTACTGGAGCTGAAAACTGAAAGTTCTCCGTAGGAGCTGGAAACAGTGACAGGCTGGCTTCCATAAATAATACTGGAAATTAAACAGTGATTTCACAAGATCCAGGACATAATATAAATAAGAAAGCAGAAAAATCCAGGAAATCCTTACTTAACAAATGTTTTCTTTTAAACATTATATGCTTTTCTTGATCTCTGAGTTGTCTTCACATTAGACACTAAACTGTGGGAACTAAAAAGAATTGGTTTTCTCTGATTTGACCTACTGAAAGCATAGTATGTTCTCAAGCTTTTCAGTTAATCCAAAATCTCACAGGCCTGGCCAAAGGTAAGAAGCCAGTGAAATACTATGTTAACAAGAGACAAGCTTGTGTCAAACCTCCTAAAATGCTGCATGCTGACACCAAACATTACAGCATTTGGCAACTGCAGGAGATTGGATTAGTGCCGTAATTTGAATTGAACAATCCCAAAGGACGTTCTAGGCATCCAAATCCAGCCAGGAGGTAACTGGACCAATTTTACTGGATTTATACCCATAGGAATTTGGTCCTTTTTGTTGTGGCCAAAATGCAATGCTCAGGTTACAAATGCTGTGACTTCTTTTTTAAAGAATTGATTTGAAAAGTCATCCAGTTATTTCAGGTAAGCACAGGTATTAATTCAGATAACTGATCCTGCTGGTTTCGTCTTTGGCTTCTAGAGCAAACTGGGTTGCTGAGAAGTGCAAAGGGAAGAAATGGGAGCAATTTTGAGTAAGTTTTTCCGCTAATGGTGTACACTGCTCTCTGCTGTTTCTATGCCCTGAGTATCCTCAGTCCACCCCATTCTAGATTCAGGACCTGTTTAGGTCACAAGGGTTCCTGTTCTGTCTAAAGCATCATCGCTGTCTGCTATTTATTACATAGTCCAGTGGACTGAACGACCTGTGAATGGGCCAAGCGCCAGAGGAAAACATGCACAGGCTTGGGGCAGCCAGAAAACTACTAGACAGTCACTGAGAAGCTAAGAGGGGTTTTGTCCTGTTTTGCTTTGTTTATGTTTTCTCGTATCTATGTGGTTCTGAAAACCACAATCTCCAGTCTGGAAAATACATATTTTGGCTTTGTATGGGTTTCTATATTCTGTTCATCCCACTCAGTAGTGTATTAACTTTTGTCATATGATTTGTTTTTTCTCTTACTGTCTCCATGGGAAAAAAGTGTTGGAACTGTAGTCCTTATGTAGTGCTTAGGTTTATTATTTCTATGTTTGCATTACATGCAGATGAGGACCTGCATCTTGCTTAGGAGGGAATGGTAGCCTGAGCATGTTCAGGAAACCTGGTGCTTCTATGGAGCCGATGTCAAGTGTGACGGTGGGTAGCCATTCTGTATCAAAGGAAAGGATTTTCCTTATCCTGTGTCTGAGCAGCAGGGAGGCATTTCAGCAGCCATTACAGTAATTTCTGTATCTCGGGAGGCTCAGAGTTGCTGTAGCAACCTTTTGCTAGATAGGAATTTGGCTGGTGAAGCCCCACAGGAATCTGCTCCCACTCTCAACTAACCTCTCACATCACCGAGCTCAGCTGCCAGGGAGAAACCCCAGCTGTGAGTCAGGTGGGGTGAGGGACCTCTTTCCACAGGTTCCTCACAGAACTTTCCCCTAATTACCAGGATCAGATGCTTTCTGGCAGTTTTCCATGGGGCCGGAGATTTGCTGTGTGTACGGAGTTCTGCAATTGTAAAAATGGTCATAGTAAATTTGGAGCATACAAACAAGCCCTTATTCATGCACTCACAGATACAGAAGCTGAACATGCAAAAGCAGGGAGTGCAGTTTTAGAGACCAGTGTGGGAAGTTTGACTGGGAGGCAGTGGTAGTTCTGGTGACACAAAAGAAGTATTATAAAGTCACCGAGGGGATCAGGCAGATGGGAACAGACTTGAGTAGGAAGGAATACAGACAAGGTCCCCAAAGCCTGTTACTTTGATTTGGATAAAAAATGAAGTGTGAAGTTGGTCAGAGCATGAGGGGATGCATCACTGCTAAACCAGTTCCTTCCAAAGTGTGAAATAGTTTCTAGAGTAATGAAAGACAGTTTTTTGGCCTTCCAAGCTGCTGTTGGTGGAGAATAATATTTAGAAGACTTTATTTATAGACAATATTGTCCAATGATTAGAGACAGTTATTGTGGACTCTAGGCTTTTGTTTCTAATTCTACAGGTGACTGCCATCGTCAAACCACAGCACCCTGTATCTAAAGACTAGAAAACAATCAATTGAATTAAAACAAGACTTTGACATAATACAACTTAAGCTGGCCCAAATCTGGTACTTCTGACAAAGAATGAAGTCGTGCTGCCACCTTACATCTTGATGCTGGTTTCTATCCCTGTATCCTCCCTCACTGTATAGGTACAGGCACTGGGAAGTTATCCATGACACAGCTGCATCAGGAGCAAGGAACCAACTGCAGGCCTTAAACCCAGACTGAGATGTCAGCTATAGTCTTCATCACTGAAGGGTTCAGTTAAGCAAGCATGCTCGGAGCTTATCTGACAGCTCTCAGGTAAGCTGGCCTTTCCTAGGACTGTGTACTGCCTTCTCTTTTTACTCTGTTGGAGGAAGAGGAATTGGCATAACTACTGTTTTCCTTTTATACATTGCTTAGTGATTATTGCTTTGGAATCAAGACATGTAGGGCCAGTTCCTTCCCTGGTTTCTAGTTCCTGCTCCCAGGTCTGCTTCTGTAACTCATTAATAGTCTGTTTAGACTAAAATATCAAACAACGATGGAGCAGGTACCAAAATCAGTGGTGATTTGAATTAATATGCCAGGCTGGAGAACTAGATGGGTGAGGAGCCAGCCCACACTCATTTTTGCCAGCAGTGTTGCAGGACAGCTACTTCTGACAGCTAGGTGGTTGGAGAACTGAAATTTAGCATTGTCCAAGGAGCACCAAAGCAGCCTTGAGGTGCTCAGAGGCTCATTCTGTACTAGAGATGTATCAGCTTTATAGAATGGATCGTGAGTCTATGAGGTTAAACCAGTTTGAATCCTTAGTGCTAATGCAAGCTTTAACTCTTGCAGACATCATTTGAAGTTCTACAGACAGGTCACTAAATACAACAAACTGTGAAAAAAACAGTTAAAGTTTGATTTTTAAACCAGGGTCAATTCCAGAAAAGACAATCTATTTTTTTTTGTTTGGTGTATCTTTTTTGGTTGTTCTTTCAACCAAATCCCCCAGAGTCTGAAGCACTTCTTGATTATGCAAAGAAGGAAATCTATCCTGACAGTTTTCTTAGGCTACAGAGAGATGTTAGGCCTCAGACAGAAAGTGGGCCCATGTATGGGTATAGTCAGCTAAATGTGTCACTAAGTGGCAGGAAGGAAGGCGAGTGGGCTTTGGGAAGCTGACTGATCTCTGTGCACTAGCAAAGCAATCAGGACTGAATATGGACTGTGTCCTAGTTACACTTCTGACTATTCGGGGAGGGTGGTGTGTGTATGGGTTTTACTGTATACTTTTAAATACAGCACCCAGTTCTGAGGAATCTATTCCCAACTAAAGCACACAAGCTTTGGAAAGGTCAGGGAGAGGCATCTCTAGCTTTGGTAAATAAACACATCTCTTCTCTGTGGCTGGGATGTTGTATTAATAGCAATAGATTTGGTTTCGCATTGTGGAGCTCCTCCTGTTTCATTGCTATTGAAGATAAGAGAACACAAAATGCCCTGTCGCCGTCCCTATGAGAAAACAAGCCAACAGGCAGATACTATTATGTTTAAAGATATTACTGAGGCAAAGACTTGGGGAATGTTAACATTCAGGTTTATATTCAGTAACTACTGGATACCATGGCTGGCACACCAGTAACTCAACATCATTTAATGTCTTACATGAAAGAGTTTACAAGACAAAATCACTGCAGCAGAAAGAACCTAAATGAAAGGGTTGAGCCTTATGCAGATGGAAGTTGATTTCTCCCTTTTGCATTTTTCGTAGTGATTCAGTTGCAGCAAAAAGTAACATCTTTTCTGCTTCTTAACCCATTTTGCTGTAATCTGTTTTACTTCAGTTTGCAACCTGGAGGTTCTCAGACCTTCATTACAGGATACTGGGACTGGAAAAGTTTCTCCAAAGAGTTCTGAAAGGAAAAGATTTCTGGTGAAATTGTAAAGCCCTCTACCTTGGCAGTAAGCATGTGTAAAATGCATTTAGAGATCTGTACCCTAGAGCTTCTCTCCACAAGTTAATTGGGAATCATTAATTCTAAAATTCCACATATGGAATATCTTACTTTGGAATATGTGCTCCTGAGAGGAAGGCAGATTTAGCCTATGGTAGCTGGTGAATAAGAAGTGTGATGGGAAGAAATGAAGAATTTATCTGTAATTAGTTAGCATATATGACACATACTGTTTCTTTTCAAACACTAGATAGACACTTACTACATTAGATAATACATGCTCAAGAAATACCTCTTGTCCTTAGTGACACCTTTCCTTCAGATCGGGCATCAGTCCAAGGAGGAGACAGTCTTCTCTTCTGCAAATAAGCGTCTTCTGTTGGAGAGCAGATTGCTAGATATAAGTAAAAATAAACACGAACCAAATCAGATAATTCTCCTCCGAACAGTTGTGTCCTTGCCCTTGAAATGTCACCAGCTCCAGATTTATTTCTTTCCCTCATGCACAGGTAGAGAATCTGTTCAAAGGGGAGTTCTTCCTGCATGCAGAAGCGTTCTGTAAAACTACACCTTTACGTAGGACACATAAACAAACCAAATGACTCAACAGGAAAAAAAGTTACATACAGGGAGATCTTTTCCTCCAGGGATATTTTTACTGTAAGAAAATTAAACTATTGGCAGAAGACAAAGACACTGAAGTCACCGGCATTGTTCTTTCTCCAGTCCAAGTCTGACCAGTCTGGAACTTCATTTTTGGATGTGGTGCCTGATCTGGCCCTAAGGTAGCACTGCAGCTTTCTATCTGTCCTGGGAAAAAAGAGTCTCAGCTGAGGTTAGGATGCTGCTTACATGTATTTGTAAGTGAATGTCACTTCCCACCTGCTATACTCATTGCATTCTACAAGAAAGGATTGATTATTTCTTCTAGATCAGTACAGATGCAAATCCCTCTAAAAAAACAGTAAGAAATTCTGGGCAGACACAATGGACTTACTGAACAATTACTGATGACTCCTCAAGCTGATGATAAATGTTCAAAGTAGCAGTCTTTGTAGTTAGGTGATTGTTCCATATTGCAGCTTCCTTACCATTTGAGAACAACCCCACATTTAATTCTGCCATTGCAGGAATTTTGGCTGAGTTAAATGTGAGAAAAGATTTCGATTTTGAGCATGAAATTTCTTTTAACTGTGATTTCTGATACAACATATGCCATAGAAATGAGGAAAAAAAACCCTGCAGTTAGTATGAGGGCCTCCTGGTCTCCCTGAAGGATTCTACGTGCTTCAGTATGTTAGTGCTTGAAAGGATTTAATATAGATGGGTTTGGAACAGAATGAGTTGTATTTATACTTGATCCAGTAAGGTTTTCTTTTTCAAACAGATCTAATAGTCATCAGAGCTGGGCTCTGAATCAGATATTCTAAAGAAAATGTAAATAAAATTTTAAATTTTGCCCATTATGTTTTTAATTTAATTACATCATAGGCTGCTGAAATTTAAAATACTTATTTTTACTCCAAGAGATACCATTATGAAATTGCAAAGCCATATGTAACCCACTGCATTTATATACAGGCTACTGGAAAAGCAGCTTTGGAAACAGAGTGTACCAGTCTGAATTACTGCAAGAATATCATGTTCTTAAAAGGCAACAGACATTAAATACCCAATACATGAGAATAATATGGAAAATCATCCAATTAGAACTTCAGGATTGATCCAGTTTTTTGGCTTTCGAAAACCAGATTTGTGTAGAGGATGGCTTTGCAGCTGAACTTTTGTGTGGTGACTTTGGCAGATTGAACCTGATACTAAGAACTTAAATCTATTTGAACAACACCTGCATTTTCCAGCCAGGTATAATAAAAGGCAACAAGTAGACCCCTGATGATCTAAGCAACAACCTAATTGCTGTTCTGCTTGACAAGGTCATAATCTGATTTCTGGGTATATATTAATCAACGACAAATTAAGCTACTTCCAAGAAGATGGATGTCCAACATCATTATTGCACGTGTCTTTGAATAACTCCTCTTTTCTTTCAAGAATGAAGTCTGTTCTCTGAGTTGCAGCTGGAGCATGAGGGCAGCTCAGGCCACCCCAGATCTCAGGAGATCAATAGTGTGAGCAGCTGATGATCTAATTATGGACTATTTGGGTCGGACTCTTTTCTCCTGGCTAGGTGGGAGCTGATTGACTCAAAAGAGGTTAGTTCATTCAGTTCATGGGGGTTACAGCATGCGTGCATCATTCCCCTAATAACTGCCATCCTATTAATCAGAAGGAGAGTCAAACATTTCCTATAAGCAGTCATTTTGATCGTAGGTAACATTTTAATGCATATCTTAATGATACCACACAAATTGCTGGCAGTTGGGTATGTTATTATTACATTCCTATTAGTTATGTATATTTTTATTAAAGCTCAGGGTGAAAGCATTTACTCATAAAAATACTGTTTGTGGCCATTTCCTTTGCAACATTTAACTCTTCATTTTGCAAAGGCAAAAAAACAGGCTGTTACAGTGCATAATCACTCACGCACTCATACTTTAAGCTGCTCATAAACAAGACACATGATGATGTAGGGCTTATTACATATTTTGAATGTTCATTGCTTAAGAGATTGAAAAATATCATGTCCTTGAATTACATAATAACCCAGAATGGATTCCAGTATCTTTGAGTTTTCCACGTTTGCTTGAATGAGCAGTTTTACAATCTCCCTCTTGTCGTATTTTACCTCATATGAACCATCAGCCTGGGTATTAATGTAGCACTCCATAAAAGCCATGAAGTCCTACCATACAATGAGCAAGGCAATGGAAATGATGGGATACAGTAATCAAGGCAGTCTACTTTCTCCTTCCAAAATCCTGTTCAGGAAATCGGAAGGGCCCTGTCCAAGACATTACATCAGGAAAGTGACTTAGGCTGATTTATACCATCGTGTAGGCAGACACCTCCAGAACTTTATGTTCTAGTTTAACACATGCGTACATTCTGTGAAGAGAGGACAGGGAGCTGATGGAGGGAAAAGCATCCCCTGGAAATTCAAAAGCCCAGGTGATCATTCTGCATCTTTGTGTTTCATTTCTTGAGGCGCACATAAAGGAAAGGAGCAAGACACCTCTGCCAGAGCTCAGCACAAGTTGCCAGGATTAATTTCCTGCCTTCCCATGCTGATCACTTGGTGAGTATTCCTTAGAAGATAAAACGTGCTTCTGTCTTGTTTTGTGTTACTTAACTCTGTGATCACTCACCATCCCATCAGGGGGGAGGGTTTTGATGAAGGGGTGATTTTGCCTTTGCTTATAAGATTTTTAATAAAGCAGTTGTAACTTTTCTGCTGTGTTCAGATGTCTTGAGCCAATCACTGAAGCACATCAGGGACAGCGGGAACTGCAGACATAGGTGCGGGGCTGCAAAACGTTCTCCTTGGCAGGGAGGGCAGTGTAGGAAGTTCCTA